AGGGCCAAAACTGCTGTAGAGGTAGAAAAGCCCACTTTGCCTCTACCCGACTTGAGGAAGAGAACATCTTGGAATATCTAATAACGTTTCTTCAAAAGCAACGTCTCTGACAGTCATTACTCAACCTCACAGAGAAAGGGGAGCTGTGTGGAATTCATCAGGTTGCAGAATAACCTGAAGAATTCCAGTGAACTGATGAAACATTCCCTGCTGGTCTACAATCAGCCTGTCACATCATAGTCATCCCAAAGCATCAACTCTCTCAACACCTCCGTTAGCAAAAGGAAAAAAACAGTGTTTTACAGTCACTTACCTTATAATATAACCGACAAGATGATCAGTGTGTGGAAGTACAAAAAGGGATTTTCCAGAAAGGTCACAAGCATTGCATAAAGCTGCTGCCCTCTCCGATGCAATAACGTCTTCCCCTAGTGAAGTCAAGAAAAGCACAAGTAAGCAGTAGCAGTGCTGCAACGTCAAACTAGCTCTAAAAGCTTGACCTAGGAGAATCCTCTACAAGGACTGGAAAAATCTAAGACACATAAAACTGAGTCCACGTTCTTTCTTACTTCTTCTGGAGTACTATGTGCTTCATCCAGCAGAACACATTGCAGAAGCTTTCTAGGAGTGGCTTAGCTAGCAACAAGGTAGAAGTACGACATAAATTTTTCATCTCTCTCACAGAGAGAGTCTTGAAAGCTACAATAGCATCCAGAAAAGACAAACATATATAGCAGATAGAGGAAAAAGAAAACAACAAAATATAAAAAATGGTTTGCCAGACACCAGAAAGCATGCAGCTACAGCCGAAGCAGCAGCTCTTCAGAAACAAAAGGTTAAAACTTACCACGTTTCACAGCTCCACTCGACTCCAAAACTTTATTAAAACTGAGTTAAACTAAAAGGCTTCTGTAGGTACCAAATACACTTACTCTAAGTTCTCATTGCTGTTACAGCTTTTGCTGATGTCAAGCAAGGTTTAAAATACAACTTATTTACAAGGAAGCATGTCACATGTACACTAACATACCATTTTTTGATACTGTGTATCAAAAGATGGACTTGGACTTAGGGAGGAAGAAGTTAAGGATAAAAGCATCAAATGTTGAAGGTCAACTGCCCTAAGCACTCTTGACATTTGTATGCCTTCCCGCAGCCACAGTGCATGTCATGCATGTAGATGACGTTATATTAAGAAACACAGATAATGTCACAAACGATATGTCAGCTCAGCCTGTCAGGCCTTCTGAAAAATGAGAGCATTGCAACTGCGTATGGAGTTTTCTAGTACCTGGAGGTAATGGTGTTTTTTTCTGAATCAAAACCACAGCAACTTTCGTATTTCTTCCCTGCAAACTTTGCCTAAAATAAGAACAACAGGGCACAGTGTCAAGGTTTCACTTCTTATTTGGGAATAATCAGAACAAAATGATATTTCAGTCTAGACAGAAGCACTGAAAGAATGCTATGTAAGAAATAAAACCAAACACAACAACCTGCTGCATCATCCACAGAACACTGTGTTCTCTTCTTTGTTCAGAAGGGACAGAATAATTGTGCTAAGCTTAGCAAGCAAAATTTCAGAGGCTCTTTTTACTTAAATGACTTTTAAAAATAAACCATTTTTAAAAAAAAGTTTCATTACTGTCAGTTGTGCTTCAAAAAGCAAAGTTCAAGTTGCCCTTAATTTGTGTCTAAGAAAAAAAAAAAAAACATATTTATATATCTTAGAATGCAAAAAGGATTCTGCAATTCACATGTACCATTAGCTTGTAGTATGTTATGAACCAAGTGAAAAAACTCTACCTGACAATTTCAACTCGAGTAGCACATTCTGACTGTTTTTCTTTCCATTGCGGCTCATCCCAGTCTAGTTCATAGAACACCACAACAAGCGCTGGAACCAAATTCAGGTGTTTGTTCATCCAACCAGTCTTCAGGATTCCTTTTGGAATATACCATTCATAGGATGTCCTCTGAAAATATTGAGGTTATTAGAGCAAGCTACCAAATCCGTTCACGGGCCTCTTAGTATAGCAGGAGAATGGGAATTGCCTCTACGTTCTTGTCATTGGTGGATACGTTTGCCATATTCCCCTCAAGCCTTTGCTTCCTATTGAGTAAGACACACACCTCATTCCCTGGCATCAGGGCCTGATGCCCAAGATATCAGCAACAAAGAACAGCAGATTCTGGGCAGACTGGAGAAAAAAAGTCAAATTCAGAAGCATGTTTCACACACCTTCATGAAAAATTAGGTTTATTTTAAAAGGGGGCTCTTGAGGGGCTCTCAAACAGAGCCAGGAGAAACCAGTTAAGAATCTTGTTCCTTGCCAGCATCACAGAATTATGTAGTTTTCCAACTGATTGGAATTGATCGATTCCCATCGATATTGCTTCCTAACTGCCACTGAAAAGCAGAAAGTAGAGCAGAGATACCCCTTCTGCTGCATTTCACTTAGCTAAAGGCTCTACTTTTTTTTTTTTTTTCGGAACATGCCAAATTCAAATATCTAGTTTCTCCAGAGTTAAACTTTGGGTTTCCTTAAAGCTCAAATTTTACAAGCATACCTCAAGGCTAAGCAAGTACTTCAAAAAGCAAGCCATATTGGCTTTCTCTGCTTTTCGCTAATGAGCTAAGGCACCCCGGTTTCCAATGCACCCTCAGCACTCCACCGCAACGCCCTTGGCTTCCCCGTAGCCCTGGCAATTTTTACCAGGCTTCAAGCTCCCACGCTTCCCCTCCAACAGCGGGGGGAAGAGATGGCAGACTCAAGGCTAAGCAAGTACTTCAAAAAGCAAGCCATATTGGCTTTCTCTGCTTTTCGCTAATGAGCTAAGGCACCCCGGTTTCCAATGCACCCTCAGCACTCCACCGCAACGCCCTTGGCTTCCCCGTAGCCCTGGCAATTTTTACCAGGCTTCAAGCTCCCACGCTTCCCCTCCAACAGCGGGGGGAAGAGATGGCAGAAGTCCGCCTGGGTGGTAACCACCGCGAGTGCTGCTCAGCTGCATGAAAACCAGGCGGGTCAGAGCGGCCCCTCGCTACGGCCCTCGCCCTCCGGGA